GTTTCTAGCTATGTAACTGGGGGGCTTCGTCTCCCAGACCTCCCTATCACGGGGGGTGGGGGCTATAGTCTCTTGTGCTTAAGCTAAAAAGTGAATTTCTCACAAAAGATTACAGCCCCCACCCCCTGTGATAGGGGGGTCTGAGGGGCGAAGCCCCCCAGTTACATAGCTAGAAATAGATGGTATGACAGATTTTCTAACCTAATACGCCCTCAACTTTGTCTATTAATATCTCGCTTCGCAGAAAAAAGAGCGACGATTTTGTCAGAGGAAAAAGTTGTTTGTCATGCAAAAACGCGTCGATTGAGTCTATTTTCATCGAAATCGGAGGTGTTGCCGCTAAATTAAATAATTACCAAAACCACAATTTACCCACGCTCTACATCACAAATAGTAGTACGAAAATCGGAGTGAGTCCCAGATGCGCACATTGACAAACGGACACATCCAATCATATGTCGTTGTTTATAGAGTCTCTAGAATATCTCTAGGCATATGGCGTTGTGGTTGGATGTGATAAAAACGAAATAAAAACACAAATATTTTCTACAAAACTATTTTTTATTTCTCATCAGTTGCATATCCATTGCATAAACAAACGATACATAATTAAATGATGATAAAATAAACGGTGCACATCATTCTGTGTCCAAATAAACAGCAAGCAACTGAACGATGTCCAAGTGAACGGTGTCCAAATGAACAGTGCGCATCCTTCTGTGTCCAAGTGAACAGTGGGCGATTGAACGGTGTCCAAATGAACGGTGTCCAATTGAACGGTGTCCAAGTGAACTGTGTCCAAATGAACGGTGTCCAAGTGAACAGTGCGCATTTTTCTGTGTCCAAGTGAACAGACAAGCAATTCCACGGTGTCCAAGTGAACGGTGTACAAATGAACAGCACGCATCGTTCTGTGTCCAAGTGAACAGTGGGCAACTGAACGGTGTCCAAGTGAACGGTGTCCAAGTGAACGGTGTCCAAATGAACGGTGTCCAAGTGAACGGTGTCCAAGTGAACAGTGAGCATCCTTCTGTGTCCAAGTGAACAGTGGGCACTTGAACTGTGTCCAACTGAACGGTGTCCAAATGTGGTAACTGAACGTCGTGCATTTTCTTTCGTGTCCAAAAACAACGGTGCCAAAAAGTTTCGTGTCCAAACGCACCGTGTCCAATTGAACCGTGTGTCAAGTGCCGTATCCATTTGCACCGTGTCCATTTGCAACGTGTCCAATTGTACTGTGTCCAACTGAATGCCACTCAATATTTCATATAATAAAAGAAAAGTTTCATACAATAAAGGATTTTATAAGTAGATCATATAAGCAGGTCTCCAAACATGGAAGCGCGAAACAGGGCGGTGGGGAGGCCGCAGTGAGCGTGCGGAGAAACCGCAAGAGATAGACGCGGGGGCACAGGGGCAAGTAGGGAACCGTACACCTCCCGATCGCAGGGGGGGGGGAGCTATAAACGGACCTCTGAATCAATAACCGATTCAGAGGTCCGTTTATGGCTTCCCCTGCGGGTCGGGGGATGTACGGTTCCCTGCTTGCTCCTGTGCCCCCGCGTCCATCGCTTGCGGTTTCCTCGCGCGTCCATCGCTTGCGGTTTCCTCGCGCGTCACCGCCCCCCCCCCCCC